CTGAGCCAGAGAGCTTGCACAAGAAGCAAGGGGAGGTACAAGACTGTGAGGCTGTTTTTTTTTAAAACAAGCTAGTTATGTAGGTTTTGTTGTTGCTTTTAAAGGAGTGGGGGGGTTGTCCCAGATCAGGGAAGCAGCTCTCGGGTGAAAGACTGGCTCCTTTGAAATTCATGGCATAGCTTCACTTTGCAGCCAGAACTCATCAGCAGCTTTTCCCAGCAAGGCGCAGCATCCTAGCATGTTTATAAAATGGGCAGTTTTCCACACCCACATACAATTTGTGCTGCAAAAGCACTGGTGGTGTGTGTCTTTGTGGGCACTACAACCAACCTCTTTTATTTGTCATTGTGAAGACAATTATTTGGAGCTAAGGTTTTTTTTTTTAAAATAACATATATTTATACTTTCCCAAATCAGTCATTAGAGCAGGGTGACAGAATCAAAAGGAGATATTGTGTCTGCACTGTACAAGAACAAGAAGTAAAAAATGAAATCAAGTCTTTCTACAGAATTTAAGCAAAAATTACTATTTTCCAGTCATTTTAGTAGACCCTTTCTTTCAGGAGAGGGTCACTTTAAGATGACATAAAGGCTGTAAATAAATATAAATACAATCCCAGAAGGGATCTTTCTACTGAAAATGCTTTGATCTCCATTAAATTTCTTGTCAGCAGGTATCAAAAGTGACATAATAGGATAGAGTAGCATTTTGCTAGCTGGAATTCATATGTATATTATTATCTGGGTTTGAATTTTGCACAAACTCCAGGGCTATCTAAGCCTTCCTAGATTTTTCCTACTTTAAAGGTCCTTAATGACCATCACAGCAAGAACATCCATTTTAGATCTCAAAAAAGACTGCATCTTTGCCAGCGCCTTGCCTGATAGGTTGATGTTTTCAAATTAGAAAGAAGCAGCAGCCGTAGGGCTGCTCTCACACTTCCCCACAGCCCTAATAATGTTGCATTTATCATTTGTCAAGCACATTTACTATTTATCCTGGTGTCACAGACAAGTGAGAACCAAAGGCACAGGTTTGACCTGTGGTGAAGGACAACCACTGTCAACTCAGCTAGAAATGGGTATCGTATTATTCCATGTGGGGTGTCAAATGGCTATCATAGCTGTAATATTGGACACAGTTACAGCTGTGGGAACAGGTCACTGCTTTACACAATGTTATGTGGGTAGAGGATAATACCTAACTTTGGTAGCATGGGTGTTGCTTCCCCTTATTTAAAAAGCAATGTGGCAAAGTATTGGTACATCCAGAGTTAAAGATGCAGGATTTCTGGACTTCTGACTCTGCTCATTCCACCAGAGCATACGGCTTTTCCCAGTCCTTTCCATGGGGCTTCCTTCGGCGATTTCCCATTTGAGCTTGGCACAAGCCTTGCTTCTCTTTCTATGAATCTGAACTCAAAGCTAAACTCAGAGACAGATTCCTATAAAATCTGCCCTGACTTGTTTTCAGTCAGTGTTTATTTAGTGAGAAACTGTTCTGATGTGATTTAGAGCTTTGTTGGCCAATTTATAATTTAGAGTGTTATTTACATAAGAACAAAAAGTGGGAACAGGAAGCCCAGCGAGGCTGAGGGATCTCCATCTTTGGAAACTCAACTGGACATGGCCCTAGCAACCTGCTGTAGTTGACCCTGCTGTGAGGAGGGAGGTTGGATTAGATGATGTCCAGTGGTGCCTTTCCACCTCAACTGTTTTGTGATACATGAAGTTTGCAAGCACTCTGTGATTGCCGACACTGCACTTTTTGATTGTTTTTAAAGCATTGACCATCACCCCTGAAATTTCACAGCCCATGAAATCCCCACTTGCAGTGGGATTGTGTTGCCTCAACACGTGCACACCGTACCACCTGAGACACCCTACAGTATCTCACTTGGGCTCTGGCTGCAGCTTCAGAAAGGGAAGGATGTCTTAGAAGTCTATGGTTGTACCTGCCAACCCTGAGCAGCACTCTTAGATATCCTGGAGCACCCCAAATTTAGATAAACTAATAACTAAGTGCTTAATGGAGTTATCGGGAAATAATCAACTGTTGGTCATGCTAATTCTACTGAGAGTGGAGCCATTTTGTTGATACTTCCATATTTTAGTTTGCAGTGATGATTTAACTCATAAATTCAAAGGCTTCACTGTGATGAATGAAACTGAGCGATATGAAGCCCTCAGACACTGTCGTTATGTGGATGAGGTCATCAGAGACGCACCCTGGACACTGACACCTGAGTTCCTTGAAAAACATAAGGTACATTTCTCCCCTTATCCCTCCCTTCCCCTTTCTAGAATGACAGTTGAGAATAAACATCAGGTCTGTGAAATTCTATTAACTGGAGCAAATTACTTAATTCAATTAATACCAGCCACTGAAATTAGGTACATGGTATTGATTGCCTCCATTCTTATCAAAAAATGTTATACTTGTCTTGCCTTTTTTTTCCCTCAGTACGCCGAGATTATTTCTGTAGTGGGATTTTTGAATGGCAAAATAACACAGAAGAATTATTCACAAATTGACTTTCAGGAAAGGAGATTGTAAACAAGGAAAGTTATCACATAGTGACTAAAGTTCTATTAAAGTCCTGAATTAAAGACGTATTTCTTATTAATGTCAACAGGTGCAATAATTGGCCAGAAATATGTAAAGATGTCATGTGTCCTCTAAAAGGCAGGATAGAATTTATTACATGCTATTGACTGTCTTACATAATGAACTAGGATATATTTTAGTGTTCACATCACTGGGTGAAGAAAGGACAGCATGACAGTACGAGGTACACATGTATATACACACAGCCCTAAGGAGGCAGAATCAATAATCCTGCCTCCATGGTTTGGAAAGCCAAGGCTTTCTCATTTGATGCAGCCATTCCAGTAGCAACAAAAGCCGGAATGGGTGTGTTAGGTTCTCTACAGAATATCACACAGAGCCAGCCAGAGTGATGTGCTAATGGCAGTGCTTCTGGAGATAAGCTTTCTGTTCTTTCATAACTGATGTATCACACAGCAGTTGTAGGCCTAAATCTAGTGCAATGTTCTAGGTGATGGCTTTAGGATGAGAATGTCAAAAGCAAGTCAGCTGAAGTCGAGAAAAGCGATGATCATCCACAACGACCCCCACTGATCCAAAATTCAGTGATGGTGGCATGTGATTCTTCTTCTGTTCACTGGCAGATTGACTTTGTAGCCCACGATGACATCCCTTACTCCTCCGCTGGCTCGGATGATGTATACAAACACATAAAGGAGGCAGGTAAGGGCAACTTTATACTTTTATCACCTTCCTTTTCAGCCTCAGCTCAAATTCTTTTACTGCCTTTTGACCACAACTGCTGGGAGAGAAGCAGTAGAGGTTATACCACATTCTCTTATGCGCTAACGGTAGGTACTGCAGACTTCAACAGAAAGATTCACTTTGTAAAACCACAAAGGATGCCCTTGGTTGAATTTCTGCCATAACCCCTAGGAAACCATTCAGATTTGCCATGAAAGAGCCCCATCTGGGTTTTGAAAACAATTTTAGTGAGCTCGACTAAGAGCTTTGAACAGATGACAATGAGTTTAGTTCCCACAGCAGCCCAGCCGACTTCAGACATTTGTGGATAACTGCAAACTGATGACTCCTTGACACAGCCCAGTCCTGAATTTGGGCAAGCACAGGCAGCCTTCAGGACTCATTAGGATCCACTTCTGATTTGCACCAGGCGTTCTTTTCACTACACTGGCAGAAGGTTTAAATCGGTACCAGAGTAATTAATTTACCATGACTACTTAGCCGTTTGGTTGACTACCGTATTACATTGACCATGAACATACTGAAGTCATCAGGAGTTTCTGTTCAGTTCAAGAAAGCTGAATTTAATCTGAGGAGATAATATTAAGCCACTGTCTGCCAGCAGCTGCCCTAACACAGTGAACAGTGGGGGAGGTGGAACTGATCATACCTTTCTTCTCCTGCTTCCTGGAAGTGCTGCTTTGAACCCTGGCAAATCCATCCTCTTCCTGGTCTACATAATCATGTATATTGGAGGATTAAAAGAATTCCAGAACAAGTCTGCCTGATAGTGATTTATCACACAAAGTGACCTTCTCAGACTATCCAATGGCAGCAGTAGACCAGGTATTGACCTGAGCTGAAAGAATAAGCTTTTTATAGCAGCAGTTCTTGATCTTTTTCCACTTGCAAACCTCTCCGTGGTGTCAGACTCACAACCCTCCTTTGAGAGCTGCAGCTCTACAGATTCAGAGCCAGCACCAGCTTACTTCACTAGGCAGTGGAACAAAGGTAAGGACGGGTCACCGAGGGACATACGCCATATGTGCTGCACAGGCATTTTGCTTTTCTTCTGTAATGTGCTGAGTGCACAGGACAATATGACAGGAGCCCTTGGTGTCACTGCATTGTTACCAGACTGAGCTGGAGAGTGCCCAAACCTGGCACATCCTTCTTTGCTGTTGTTGAGCACGGGTGCAGTGCGCAAGCGTCCTGACAAGAAATTCAAGGTTTGCAGAATAGAGTATGGACTTACAGCTTCAGAGACTTGTGGTCTGTCCTGTCTCTATCACTGCAAGATGCTGGAGAAGTGACTTCAGTCCTGTATGGCTGAATTTTATTACATAAAAACTGGGAATAATATTACCTTATTTGTGAAGAGTTTTGAGGTCTAGTGCTGTAATAGTCCTAACACTCCAGAACAGCATTGTTACAATAGTGAATTTCCCCTTTCTTCTAGGGGGTTTTGTTTTAAATAGACCAATGCTGTGGATGCGTTTGTGCCTTTTCCTTACTGCCATTTTCCCACATTGGGTTGCTGGGGGAGCAGAGCAGCAGATGGGAACTGTGGAGCTCCTTGTGCAGTGTCCCATGGGCTCCCATTTCACCGCTCCCTTCAGTGGCTGGGAGGGCATACAGACAGTGGTGAGCTGGGTAATGGTGCACTGAGTAGACCTTGCACATCTGTGAACAGTTGGTTTGGAAAACATTAATCAGTCCAACAGAAGTATATGAAAGCAAATTCAGTGACTAAAGGTAATGTTCTTGTACGTGGGTTTGTGCATCTGCTTGAAAACAATTCTGCTTTTGGCTTAGCAAGGGTAGGGTCTGGATTTTGTTCATGCATTCTTGTAGCTCCTATCTATAAAGGCTTCTGGCTCAAAGCGGGTTTCACTGCTTCCAAAAATAGTTTCCTGAGTGACTGCTACAAGCTTGAAAAGCACGATCAGGGAAACCTCTCTGCTTGTGATTAAAATAATCTAATTTTTAGCAGAGTATTAATTAGAGATCAGAAAGGAAAAAATATCACATAGCATTTGGTCACAAGAGGCTGCTAAGCTTCTTGATTCTTTATCCAGATCTTTTCAAACCCTGTGAAATTAGCCAGCAATGCCTGCCTACTTCAAGTGAACATATGAGGATTAACTTGCCAGTAGCTATAGTACCCTTTTACCACAAAGCACTGCTTTTTTTTTTGCAAAACTGTTTCCAGTCTTGTTTCACAGCTCACTCTCATCAGCAGCTTCATGTTGCAATTACATATAAGTGATAGTAGTCGTTTCTTGTAGCCCTAAATAACTGCTAAGCCAAGGTGTGCTAGCACTCTGCTATTGTTGCCTTTGTGGCTTGCATTAACAGTTCAAGTGATCCTGTCTTGATGAGGAGGAATTGAAAAGCAATATATGCCTCAGCTGTGTTGAGAAAGAACAAGCATTATTAATAAATGGCCAGTTTTCTTAGGGACTGATCTTTCGGAGCAGGGAGAGTGGTTATGCAGGCACTGACATGGCCAGGTGGACATGAAATGGGGGCTGTGGAGACTGATACCCTCAGTCCCCACAGTATATATGTGTTTTGTTCACACTACCATTATGCATTGCCTTCCTGTTACAAGCTACTGGCACCTCCAGGGTGTTTTCCAGTTATTGTAACACCTCTTTTACCTGAAGGCACTTCTGGGCTTTGGCCGAAGCCAGAGGCTGGTCTGTTTTACTCAGCACTACAAAGACCAATGGTGCAGCACAGGAGGGAAGGGGAGAGTGGAAATGTACAGGAGAGCAGCAAATAGCCTTTCAGGAGTGGGAGTGGAAGCCCACCCAGTTCCTTTTTATGACATTAAATAAGAGCTATGATTATGGAAAGAAGGGCTCAGTGAATTTCCACAACTGCGAGGTTTAGCCTTGCTGGCTCGGGAGCCCCTGGCAGTCTGATAACTTCCACATCACAGCAAACACTGTGAAGAGGGCAAGTTTTAGCCTTTCTGAAGACCTGAGGAAAAATGAATGATACAGCAACTTAATGGGCCCCCTAAGCTCACACAAGAACAACAGGAAAGAACTGGGAGTGAGGCAGACAGAACTGCAAGTCTCTTACCTTTGGTCAGGTATTTCTGTGTTCATCCTCAGCTACCTGCTGCAGTGCCTGGTCCTGCCGTGCTTTCTCAGTGGGCTCTCTTTTCCCACTTTGCTCAGGAATGTTCGTACCAACGCAGAGAACCGAAGGTATCTCCACGTCGGATATCATCACCAGAATCGTCCGGGACTACGACGTGTACGCCCGGCGGAACCTCCAACGAGGATACACCGCCAAAGAGCTGAATGTTAGTTTTATAAATGTAAGTACACCAATCTGCATTTGCTTCTGAAGCGCTTTCCTAGGACCCAGATTTTGAGTAAAGGCTAAGAAAGTATATCTTCCTCCTGATGCTTTTAAAATAGGAGACAGAGCTGGGAAGAACTTAAAAGAAACTGGTATGCTGAGGGTAGTTTTAATTGCTCTTTTTAATTAGCAATTTCCATCTTATTCTTTCACATTTGTAACAAAGCTGCTGCTCTTCCTTGAGCTGTGAAGGAGCCCACTCCCCCACTGCAGGCTTCTCAGCCAGTCACCCAGACAGTTTCTTTATTATTATTTCTATATTTCTTTATTCCCGCTGGGAGAAGGCAGCAGAGACAGCAAAGATTTTGATACCCAAACTTCCTCTACAACACGGCAGGAGCAGTGAGATTACTAGAGGAGGCTAAAATGGTTTATAAAAAAGAAGGAAGTGTGTTAGGAAGCTCATACCCAAATGATGCTGAAGAGATCAGAAGCCACAATAGGTAGGACAAAACTATCATTTGAAAGGATGGCTCAGAAAAATGTAGCAGCTCAGGTTATTCAGCCTCCACATACGGAATTGCACTTTACTCTCCAGTAGAGAGTAAACTCTTAACAGAAATGACAGTTTACTTCCTTAATTTTCTGTTTCACGTCTTAAGGCCTCAGGATAACCCACATTATCGAAATCTTCCCTGTGATTAGACTGGCTCACAGGAGGCCTTCCTCCTCCCTTCCTAGAGCTGGGAAACCCCTTGTGAAGGACTGAATAGTGTCATTTTGTGACGGTTTTGTTTCCTTGTTTCTTATTTTGAAGTCTGGTAGATAAATTGGAGATCACAGGGCATAAATACTTACTTCACTGCACTTTTCACTTGTACAAAATCTCTAAAAAGTCCTGCTTGTAAGTACTCCACCCAGAAGGATCACTGTTGCAAATTCCCATTAAATTAAGGCATGCTGGATGCCTTGGGGGTTCTCAAATTTATCCTTTAGTGGCTCTGAGGTTAAGGTACCGTTGCATAAGGTCTGCTTCCCCCAGTCTCAAGACACTGATGTATCCTGAAGTCCCTCCTGGCATTTGGTTATTTAGCTTATAGTAACTTAAATGCGGAAATACTAATTTGCACCAGAAGCTGTTTGCGTTTTAAAATTTAAAAAAAAAACAACAAACAAAACAAGAAACCCACAGGATTTCACCAAGACAGACAAGCGCTGGTTTCCTTGCCAAAGAAAGGCTTGGTAACCTATTAGGTGCAAAGTGAGTTTGGTTTCCTTGGACCTTTAGGATTTTGTTTGGCATTGTGGCCTGCAAAGATGGTTCTTCTAGCGATTCATGAGCTAGAATAAAACCCACCTCAGCACTAAACAGTATTTGTTGTAAGAGTAAATTCAAGTGCCCATTAAATGATGTTCACAGGAAATTAAAAGCTGATAGCAATCTGTGCTTCTGCAGAGACCATTGCACTTTTAAGGGCACAGCATTAGTTGGCTGTGTGCATTGGACGTTTGAGGAGCACAGAAGCATTTCAAGACAAAAGCTCTTTAACCCTGAAGTATTTCAGAAGCTTGGCCCAACATGATTAAGGGAGTGGAGCATCTCCCTTATGAGGAGCAGCTGAGGGAGCTGGATCTCTTTAGTTTGCAGAAGAGGAGACTGAGGGGAGACCTCATTCATGTTTATAAATATTTAAAGGGTGAGTGTCACGAGGATGGAGCCAGGCTCTTCTCGGTGACAAACAATGATAGGACAAGGGGTAATGGGCACAAACTGGAACACAGGAGGTTCCACTTAAATTTGAGAAGAAACTTCTTCTCAGTGAGGGTGACAGAGCACTGGACCAGGCTGCCCAGAGAGGTTGTGGAGTCTCCTTCTCTGGAGACATTCAAAACCCGCCTGGACGCCTTCCTGTGCAACCTCATCTAGGTGTTCCTGCTCCGGCAGGGGGATTGGACTAGATGATCTTTTGAGGTCCCTTCCAATCCCTAACATTCTGTGATTCTGTGATTAGCCTACTAACATCACCTTCTCTGTCCCTCTCCTTGGAATTAGGAGGTTGCCCTCTTTTCTATCAAGTCTGCCAGCCACAAGCCATTGGTCTTTGCACTTCCTTCTGTTGCAGCCAGAAGCTCCTCTACAAGCCAGGCTTGGAGTGAAGAGTTTTCCTTCTGCTCTGCAGAAACCCAACCAAAGAGATATTTTGGTCCAAGTCATCATCCAGGCTGGCAAGTCAGCAGCAGGCTGTGTTTGCTAGGAAACCCAGGGAGATTTGCCTTTCATTTAAGTTTAAGCTGGTAATTTCTCACTTGTGTCCTTCACAAGACTCATCCAATTTTTAAAGTGCACTCAGTTTGAAAATATGGAAAGATTCATGTAGTGAATTAAGCACAGTAGTCACACAAGATGGTCTTTTCAATATGTACCTTCTGCACTTCATCCCACAAATGTTAAATTTGCATTTATAAAAATAACGTGGGAATAGTTAATCAAGACCATATGTATTAGGACACATTGATGCAATTTTTTTTCTTCGTTTCAGCTGTCAGTGGCTAATTATTTCCAAGTTCCTATATATTTATCTCTCTCTCCACTTTCAAAACAGGAGAAGAAATACCGCTTTCAAAACCAAGTGGACAAAATGAAAGAAAAAGTCAAGAATGTGGAGGAAAAATCAAAAGAATTTGTTTACAAGGTGGAAGAGAAGAGCCATGACCTTATTCAGAAATGGGAAGAAAAGTCCAGGGAATTTATCGGCAACTTTTTAGAGCTGTTTGGACCCGATGGAGCCTGGGTAGGTATCCCAGGAAGTCTGAGTGGTTTGTATTTATCTTCTGTAATGCAGATCAAGAGCAGATTCTTTTGATGTAGTCTTTGCTTTGACAGGCAGCACAGTAGGATAATGCCAAATCTGCTTGCTGAATCCAATAACTCGTGCCAATACTGCAGCGGGAGGATCTGCCACTTCTGGTTGTTGCTTCTTTGGGCTAATTTCTGTCTTTTGTGAAGGTGTGATGCTGAACGTGATGCTGCATTCAGTGGAGCTGCGTAACAGCAACAGACAAGCAAACAGGCTAATACAGTTTATTCTCCCCACTAGCACTAAATGACACAGACATCAGGGAGGAATTACTCAGTGGAGGCAGTGAGGGAAACAGGGACACTGAAAAGTTTTTCAGCAGTTCTCTTCATGCTCTGTACTCAGCAGTGGAAGATGACAATTTTCTAACTTTAAAAACTACTGGTTTAAAGTTCCAAGAAATTATTTTATGTGTCAAGTGGCCAGGCTTATCTGACTGACTGCAGGGAAGGCTCAGGTGGAACTGAAGCACTTTTGAAGCTCTCCCCAGTATGTGCTGGCTCCACAGAGCCCATTTACCCAAGGCCCCCAGGTGCCTTGGAAAGGCAGTTGAGAGTCTGCACCAGCACCCTCCTGGGGAGAAACCCCAGCACCTTACCTGCTCAAACCACTTTCATGCACTGAGTGGTGAGTTGGTGACACTTCAGAACCACAGAGGAGTCCTAGCCCTCATCTTTCAGTTCTGATACCTCGAGGAGCTTTGTTTCCTTGTACTACTTCCCTTTGCTGCATTGAAACCAGTAGCAAAACTTTGAATGTAGAAGTTAACATTTGTTTGAACAGACCTTCATAGCCCTTCCCACTGGGAGTCAGTCCTTGTCCAAGGAGCTCCCTGCACAGCTGTGCTCCAGTGAAAGCCCAGGCCCCAGCCAGACCCTCCAGTGCAGGCATCATCTCAGATGTGCTGCTCTCCTTGCAAGCTGTGAGTGAAGCTTTTGCTCTGTTTGAGGAAACATGAGCAAGCACGGAGGAGAGCAGCAAGTGGGGCAGGGTGAACTGAGGGGAGCAAAGTAAGAGCTGAACAATCCCGCAGTACAGCGGGATGCTGCAGAGGTACATTTTGAGGCTGTGGCACACAGTCAAGCAGCTCCCTCCTGACATGAAAGAAAATCTTTTGCAGGAGGCTTGTGCAAAGTTTTTAACTGCTCATGGGTTATACAGTTTGAAACAAAATATGAAGAGAGGCAGCAAGCCAGGAAAACCAGTGTAGGACTAGCATGAAGCAGATAGTGTTGGAATATTTTTAAGGAGCCAAGACACACATAATGTTCTCTCACATCATTTAGATCAGTTCATACCTGAGCAACTTCCCATAGAGTCACAGAATGCTTAAGAGTTGGAAGGGGCCTTGAAGATCATCCGGTCCACCTCCCCTGCCATGGGCAGGAACACCTCCCACTAGACCAGGTGGCTCAAAGCCCTATCCATGATCCATCATGAAAGGCACCTTCAGTTGAAAGGATCTCAACAGAATTTTTGTTTATAAACAAACTCTCAGGAAGATTAAGAGACCCCTGATGAATTAAATAGCCACATCACAGCTGTGTCACAACTCAGTGCCACCAAAGCACGTAGTACCTGCCTCTTACTGGAGTTCTCATTGTTTCTCAGCCATGAGACTTGTTGTGTTGATTCCCACTCAGTTGATAAAAGCCTAAAGTTAGGCTGGGAAGGCTTCAGGGCAGAGACTGCATCTTTATAATCTCCTTGCAGCTATGTCTGTCCCATGCAAAGCGAGGTGCTCTGTGCATAGCACTGGTCCCAGCCATAGCAACAAACAGCTTTAGCAGTTTGCTCACTGAGAGTATCCTTTTCCCTGAGGAGGGGAAGCAGGTCACTCTTCTGATGAACAGCCCAGGTTTATCTGCATTGACCACATCCACATGAAGCTTCCCTTGGGAAGTTACTCTCTGTAGAGTTTGGCCAGTGTTTCCTGTGTGGGATGGTCCTGTGGCCATCAGTACTGAAGAAGTAAACCTAACGCTATCAGAGCACATAAAACCCACAAGAGGTGAGATGAGTTTGGCTGTGCCAAGAGAGGAAGAAAATTTCAAAGCCTTGATCCCATTCCCTGGCTCTACCCACTCAACACTGTACACAGACGGCATTTTAAAAACCCTTTGCTGATAAAACATTTTCCCAAATTTAATTAGAGAAAAGCTGCTCTGCAAAGGTCTTTTAGGAGCTGGGGGTGGCCTCCTGTTTCCCGAGTTAGTGTTTGGCTAGAATAGGAAATCTGGTGCAATCAGAGACCTTTGATAAGAACAAGGGGAGTGGAATCTCCTTGCAGCGTTGTAGGAAAAGCGCCAGGGACAGCGAGCTGAGAGGTGGCGTGGCTTTTTTAAAATCAGTTTGAGCCTTGGCAACAGGAAAGACTTTTAAAATAATGATAACTTGCTATTAGTGTCAAAACTGTTATTAACATTAATTTGCCTTATCACTGTTAGTTAGATGTTGCTTTTAATGTTGACATTAAAAGTACAGGAATCGTTACGGGCATGCTGGATTCCTAGATCAGTAATTTGCATGCCATTAATATGCTATCATTATTTCACAAATAATTATTATAATACGCTTTATGTTAGCATCAATTTTCTAAAAGTAAGGGCCATGTAACCCACAAAAAAATGCCCATTTGTGAAAAAGGTCAAAATGTCAGTTTTCAAATGTCAAGACATCTATAATTCACTGGCAATTTTGCCCACCTGTGCAACACCCTGGATGTATTTTTTTTCTATGAGAGAGTCACAGAGGGGTCAGAAACAACAATTAATGTGGCTTAAAACTTTTGTTCTGGCATGACAGGGCCACTGCGCTGCCCAGCACGGAGGCCCTAATGGCAGGGACGTGGGGTCCATCCCCCTCTGCTCAGACACACACAAGCAGGCAGCTGCGCTTCAGGTCAGCGAGAGAAAACAAGGCTCACAGGGCAGGGTTTCAGATGAGATGTCCCTTCCAAGGGCCGCCTTCCCTCTGCCCAGTGCACAGGGGGAGTCAGGGATGGTTGTGCTGGGAAACGGCCGCATCACCTCGGGCGTCAGCAGGGGCTCAGATAAATCTTGCAGGTTGCAGCTAGCAGCCAGGGGCGGTGTTCAGGCCACACCGTGCGTCTGCAGCCTGGATGTAAGCATGGCCTTGAAAGAATCAGCAGCTCAAAAGCAGCAGTCCTCCCTAACTGCAACTGGCACTTGGTTTGGGAAGCAAAGGCGTATCAACGAGTAGGCAACAGAGTTCAGAAACAGGCAAAATGTTTTTGACCAATAGCATTTGCCAAAAGCAAAGTGTTATCTCCCTAAACTTACTGGGTATACCCGAACTTGCTTGAACCAGGGCTTTGAAATTATTTTCCCACCTCTGGTAAAGGACCAGAGTGCACCCAGCCTTGCATTACCCTCCTGCACTTCAAGGGAGCCATTAACACTTGTTTACCTCTTCAGCACCCAATGGCCTGAGGAGCACCCCCCATTAGTAAGAGCACCCCCCATTAGGAAGAGCTTGCCTGCGGAAGGGCTGACTTACTGACCCTGCCAGAGCACAACTGGAGAGCAAGAGCCCTTTTGCAGGCACGGGGGTTACAGGACCACCTCCTCCTGCAGCACTTGTGGCTTTACCCAGCAACACAGGGTTAAAGCACTAACACAGGAGACAAATGGGGCATGTACCTAGCTGAAAGTGTGAGCACACCAGCTCCTCCAGGCAACAAACCCTTTGCTGAAGCAAGACCAGGAAGCAGGTGTCCTACAGCCTGGCTGAGGACACTACCAGGAAGGTGTGATTCTCCTTTACATCCCCGGCCCACGTGGCCCAAGGCACAGTCAGGTCCCCCAGCTGGGCCACTTGGATCTCCCCCAGCACTGGTACCACAACACCATGAAGCACCGCGATGTCACTGAGCTTTTTGAAGTGACTGGTAAGGCACCAGGGACAGGAAGGAGCCAAAACGTTTTGCTTGGCCAGAAAAGAGATACTACCTATCAAATACCTTTTTTTTATTATTTGGAGGTATTTTCAGTGAGAGGACGACACAGACAAAATAAAATCAACAAAACCTCAATTTCTTTGACCTGAAGAGACATTTTGCACTCCTACCACTGAATTTTAATGGGCTGCAGGGCTTTGCCAGTCCCGGTGACATCCTCATGGCTCTCAGCAGCTGAAACCCTCCCCCATCCGAGTGCTTCCTGGCAGCATTTATTAGAGCAACCACCATCTGCTAACTATTGCGGTTTTAGGCAGTCTTGACTATTTTGGAGGCAGCAGCAGTCCAGGGCTAGGTTACACGCCATGACTAAGCGTGGCTGCAGGCAGGAGCTGTTCTGTCATTCTGCACTGCAGCGACAGCCGGGCTCACACTTAATAAAGGCCAGTGTGATAAAGACATAAATTGGGTGAGGGAGCTCACAGAGCAACAGCAAAGTTTGGTGTTTGTGCTCGATCATTAACACCCAGGATTAGCACACAGCACAGACCTGATGGGAAAACCTAGCATCTGCCCCTCCACTGGTGGGGAATACTGAGTTTCAAACTGGGAGGAAGAGCAAGACAAGGCAGCCACATGCTCCTGGGGGGGGAAGGTCATCACAGAGCAGGGCTGCTGCAGGGGGAAGGGGAGGAGGAACAAAACACAAACTCAAGCTGAGAAAGCCTGTGGGCTGCAGCTGCCCGAGCAGGCAAACCCAGAAGCCATTCTGCAGAAGTATTTTGCTTTCAGACCCGAGTGGCAACTTAACTTTGTCCGGGCTGGCTCTTCCGTTCCAGCCGAGCATCGCCTGCGACCCGACTGCCAGCACGTCAGCCGAGGCTGAGACTTCTTGTTCCCCATCCCCAGGAGGAGCAGTGAGGCACTCGCATTTGGCATTTTCCACATGAAGCCTGCAGCAGCCGTGCAGAACGTGCCCGATCTCCTGTAGCCCAGCCCAGCAGCCTAATGCAAGGCCACGTAGGCACTAACAAGCAGCAGCATTTGCCTTAGCGCAGCAGATTGCTTGACTTTGAAAAGGTGGTTTCTTCCACCCTACCAGCTCTGGCAGATTCCCACTCAGCTTTACAAAGCACAAGTGACAATAAAGCCCAAAGCAGAACACAGAGCCTGCACGTGTTTCTCTTTTCGTCAAAGACATCTGAATTCTGACACTGCCAGCCCCCAGTTTAAGGGTTTGGGTGGTGCATGCTCCAGGAGCTGGGGAAGCGGCTGCCAGTATTTGGCAGGCACTGGGCTGCCTCCCTTGAGAAAGGAAGGAGGAAAAAAGGCTGGGTGAGCCAGGAAGCTCAGCAGGAGATGGGTGGTTTGTCCCATCACACTAAAAGGGAACAAGGAAAGGAGCATTTGGAGTTCAGGGAATGTGACCAACACATCTAAACCAGCCAAAGGAAGTTCCCCCAGCTTAGGACAATGCACACAGCATTGTCTTACTAGGGGCATCCTACCCAAGAAAAAACCTTGTCATGTTAAAAAAGGGTTATTCTGAGAACAGCAGAAGAGGCAAAAAGCATGGGATGAAGTGGCCACGCTTTAGGGCAGAAGTCCACCTGCCATCTCCCCGCTCGCTCTCTCCCAGGGGAGAGGCGCAGCGCAGCCCCTGCGTGCCCACAGTCACACCTTCCCCTCTGCACATTACTCAAAGAGCATCTTTTCACTTTGCTTTTGCAGAAGCAGATGTTCCAGGAACGAAGCGGCCGAATGCTCCAGGCTTTCTCTCCCCGGCAGAGCCCGAACAGCAGTCCTACGCAAGGCCGCTCTCCGTCCCGTTCTCCATCTCCACCCTGGGTCTTCAATAAAGCCTCCCCTCCCTCTTCTCCAAAAGCTGCCTCTGCCTCCCTCAGCAGCATGAGCGAGGGGGACGAGGATGAGAAGTAAAATAAAGATATAACTTTTTAACCATGAGACAGATGAACAAGCTATGAACTCAACCGATGTTCAACGGATGGGGAGAAGTGTGAGGAACATCAGGGGTATCTCTGACAGCAGGGAACGTGCTCTGGGAGATGCTGAAAACAGACTGGAGCACAGCAAGGGAGATCTCAGGAAGAGCTTATCCCATCCCCACTCCCTGGCAGTGCGTGGAGGCCCAGCCAGCAGTGCCAGACACGGCTCCGGGGGCTGGCAGAAAAGCAAACACTTTTGTGCGAGTTCCCGTCCACCTCTCGCTGCGTACGGCTGCTGCGGCCAGGCTGGCCAGTGGGGAACTCTGCAGCGAGTGGGGCTGGCAGGAGGAACTCGCTCAGCTCCTGCTCCAGACCCGGCCTGTGGGCACAGGACAGCTGTGGCCTGTGGATGGAAAAGATGCAGTTGCACCGGACCCTGCCAAACTTGAGCTCTTCTGGCACATGAAGGAACGGCGTTGCTGCAGCAAATACATTCGGAAATGGGAAATAAAATGTTACCTTTTTTCTTTTTGAATGAAACCTGCCCCGGATCCCAAACCATGCCAGTGAAATGGAGAGCTCTCCAGCTAAGTTGGTGGAAATCCATTTAATCATATTCAATGAATGCTGCTTGTTGACCAAGCCTTTGTGCAGGGCAGAGGTAAAGAGTCAGGCTGTATTTGCTTTATCAAATCGCTCTCTGTGTTCCCAGTGCCTGAACAACTACCTGGTAACTCCTGTTTTCATCCCTGGTTTTGCACTTTGGAGGGAAGAAAGTAAATGAGAAGACAGCCCCAGCTGGAATGTGTTGTTGTAGGAAATAGAGAGTTTGAAGACATTGGTGATTTTTACTGGTGAATTCTGAAAAAACAAAACCCAAACATGTGGGATCCCAGGGTATCAGGACATGGCCTCCTAGGAAACCCTGCTGCTCCCAGCTCTGTATTGCCAAACGACAAGAACAGGGTTGCTGTCCTTGCATGCTGCTAAGCCGGTTAAACGAATGTCTCATCAAACTCTAAACACGATGTGCTCACAGACACTCTGCCCCTGCAGGTGGCTTGAGGCCATTCCTCTACCCTAACATGGAAAAAAAGATGGAAAAAACCCAATGGAAACCTTTTAAACAGGATTAGGCATGGGGATTGTCTTTCTCTGTGCGTGACACCCACACAGCATGAAGCAGAACCACAGAGAGGGGAGCAGGAGTGAAGCCTTCCTTCCCCTTGATGCTCATCTCCTTCCAGCCTGGCAAAGCCAGACCTGCCTGCCTCAGGGGGCACCCAGTGGGGTGGCTGCAGACTGGCAGGATTTCTGAGCAGGGGGACCCCCAAACCAAGGCTCCCCGCCTCACAGCTCAGAAGGCTGCAGGAAGCACCCAGCCAGGCCACACTGGTAGGGCTGCAGAGCAGCGATGGGATTTTGCTGCCAGTGCACAGACATGCGTGAAGCTCTCCAGCCCAGTGCCAGCTGTGATGCCAGGCCAGCAAAGCCAGCCACAACCACCGCCTGCCTTCCCACCTGCAGCCTGGGCAGGGGCTCACAGCAGTGAAATCGCTGCTGTGCCACTGTAAGCTTATCAGGACACACAGGCTGCTGTGGGCAGCACCAGGCAGCGCTTTGTGGGAGACGCTGGGAGAGGGAGGGCTCTGAGCGGCTCTTGGAAAAGAACCAAAGGAACAGGGCACCTGAGCATGGGGTGGCAGAACCTGCTGGCAGCAGGACGCCCCATGCTACCGTCCTTGCCTTGCTGAGTGACCCAAGAGGTAAACTCCACATACTCCTTCCCTTCCAGATACTTTTTCAGGCAGGGAAACTACAGACCCTTGTGCCAGGCACCAAACTGGCCCTGCGCTCTGTTCATTCCCCACAGCTTCCATCCATTCCCCACTATGGGGTAACTGATTTTTCTTCAGGAACATTTTGCCAGTCCCTTCTCCGACTACCACAAGACCAAGCACGCAGTATCTTGTGGCACGCTTTGCCCTCTAGAGTCAACCAGTTTCTCCTTCACAGAGCTGCAGAGAGACGAGCAGGGGACAGGGCAAGCTGCTGCTTTCTCTAGAAAGTGCAAGGGGAGAGCCACAGCGAGTTCAGCTGCCTCCAGCAGTGCACCCCATGGGACGATGCAATTAAGACCTTTCTCAGCCTTAGGCAACCTGTTACTGTAACTTCATACCTGGGATGCACTTGTTAGTTTCTCTGGTCCTTTGCAAGTCTTAAGTCTTCCCATCACAAACCACTCCTCCACCACGGGAACTGTCTGCTCTCTACTGGTGCTGTTTATACAACCAGCCATGTCCAAATGCAATGGAGGTGGGCACGTTTTTGTTGTTCTTGGCTTTTACAGTTTGGGTTTTTGTTTTAATTTCATAGCGCTTACTGTCCAGCAGCCCCTGCTCAGTGGTTTGAGTGGAAGACAGCACCACGACTTGTAAATGGGAACTGGAGGAAAAACTCACCAGGGACCTCTTCTTAACAGAAGCGGTTTCTCAGAGTCACAGGTGGCTGCCCAGTGACAAAGCCATATACTGTACCAGGCGTCCTTTCACATTTAGGATATCAATAAGCTGAAGCCTTTGCCCTGCTGGTACAGACACCAATATCCATGCACTGTCTCCAGCAAACCAGAACCTCACTGTCTCTGCACATGTGGAGGGCAACTTTGCACTTCTGAGTCACGGTTGGGTTTTATTTTTCATGAGTGTTGCTTTATTTCAGTCCTATTTAACAGCCAAGCTCCACATGAAAAATAAACAGTGTACAACAGATACCGCTGCCTCTCACCTTCATTTTATAACACCTTTGGACACAAACACAACCCCCAGCATAAGCCCCACTGCTAGCACAGTGCTTGTTATCCCCATCCTTTGCACCCCAGGGCTTTACACTCCCACAAATACCACTAGAGCACAGTCACCAACCTGCCCCAAATCGCGCTGCTTGAGTTACTGCTGCTGCTGCTCTCTGCTCTGATGGGATCAGCTCTCTCCTTGCATTCACCCATATTTCTCTGGCTGCAAGGCCAAAGTGGGGATTCACAGAATCTTAGGAGTTGGAAGGGACCTTGAAAGATCATCCAGTCCAATCCCCCTGCCAGAGCAGGATCACCTAGACCAGGTCACACAGGACCGCGTCCAGTCGGGTTTTGAATGTCTCCAGAGAAGGAGACTCCACAACCTCTCTGGGCAGCCTGTTCAGTGCTCTGTCACCCTCACAGTAAAAATGTTTTTCCTCATGTTCAGGTTGAACCTCCTATGCTCCAGCTTGCACCCACTGCCCCTTGTCCTGTCATTTGACATTAAACAGGAAATGCTGTCTGAGCTGGCAAGGCGCAGCAGTGGAACCAGAAGCCATGGCTTTAATTCTTAACATAAGTGGAAGAAAGAGGCAGTGCTGGTTCTGCACCTGTCCTGGTTCTGCTGCTGAAAACTGTCCCCAAACAGCAGCCACAGTGACAACTCCTGACACCAGCCTTTGGACTTGACTCCTCCTCCAGTGAAGTCAGGCTGGTGCCTGAATGTTCCTGCTGTGCTCTCTCTCTTCTGTCCTTTCTGTAAGAAAGAAGTTATTACTGCAGCAGCTCTAGAGGAGATTGATTTAATTTATGGTCAGTCCTGTCTCAGGCATGGAGAAGCTGGACCAGCAGGCAGGGACTTAGGACTTCCCAGCTACCGTATTTTTAATTATGGAGTAAGAACAAATTTCTAAGTCATTCAGCATGGCAGAGAAACTACAGCACAGCATCCACACCAAAATGCTCACCAGCAATACAAGCTTTAGTACTTAAGATGGATTTGGGGCTGTTTTGAGCAGTGTCTTGCATCCCTTGGGAGATAAGGGACCTCCTTGTCCTTGTTCCCAGGACCAGAGAAGTCAACCTGTCTGCAGCCCCACTTCTGCCACTGAGCTGCCTCTGCAGTCCCATGGAGAGGGACCACGTCTGATGCCTCCCCACAACCTCACTGCCTTTTAGGAGCCAGCTCTGTGCCCAAAAACACAGAAGGGACAACAGGGAGCCTTGTTCACATGGGCCTGATCGTGCTATCCCCAAACCCAGTGACAGCACGGGCCATCACCAAGTCAGGCCCTCCCAGGCAAGAGCTGCAGCACCCGGTGGCAGCTTCTCCCTCTACTGCAAACAAGCACCATGTTAGATTTGGGATGAATTTTAAGTCCAGTAGAATGAACTGCAAAGCATTTCCAGTTTTTT